TGCAGAAACAGTGACAGTGTTTCACACTCTTGTCTTACATTTTTCATGTTGTCTGTCACAATCACACATGGTTTTACTGAATAATTAAGTAAATATAATTTCTTAATAAATATACCTAAAGGAACCTCATTTCTTGACTGGCCGCTCTCTGCTGTCTCAGAAGAGACACCTTTTGTGCTGTGTCAGCCACAGTAGCTGTCCTGCGCTCTCTGAAAGGTTAGGGGGGCAGTGGGAGACTGGACAGATGGTTGCAATTCACAACCTTCGCCACTAGATGCCACTAAATCTCACACACTGAACCTTTAAATGCAGAAATACACAGTATGTGAAGTGTATATAAAAGGATTAGAGGGGTTAGGAGGAAAACTTACCCACAGTGACTTTAAAGCTTGCAGCAGCTTTTCCATAAACGCAGTGAGCTGCAGTTAAAATCCACCGATCTGACAGGACGATCGCTCCGCAGGTGTAATCTCCGTTCTCAGTCAGCAGAGCCTGAGCAGACAGGCAGTGTGACCGTCATCAAATCATTCTCAGTTACAAGCGTCAATAATCTGCACAGGAGTGTCGTATTTAGAGGATGCTGATGATTAGAGAGAATGGACATCACGAAGGAGTGAGGACACGTTGATTATTTTATCATTTAGGAGAACTGACCTGATATTAGTGTGTCGGAAATCAGGTGTAATATTTAATACTTTATTCTATGTATATATTAACTTTATAGGAAACGACTGCTCTCCTTAAATTTGTCCAAAAACTCGCCTGCCATGGACAGTGTCCTTTAGGGCAGATCTGCCCGTTAATAACCCTCGGGGCAAAGTGGATCAGAGGTCTTCCACAGGCCACACGATCTGGACCAGAGAGACAAGAAAACAAGTTTGGGATGAGCAGATACACTGAAATGCACACAAAAGCCCAAATGTACCAGAACGTTTCTGAACACATTTGAAGTTGGCTTGCTGCCACTTTAAATTCAGAAGGGTAGCTAACGCGTACCTACGTAGATACTGACATGTTCCCAGCTGGTTTCTAAGCTGGTTTCTCAGTCTTCAGTGCCTGCTGGAGTTTTTAAAGTGGTAGCTAGGTGGTTTCTAAGGTTGTTGGCGGAGAAAATTATGTTTTGTTTTTGGATCAGAAGGTTGTTAAAAAGTGGTAGTCATTGTAGTTGATGGTGTATTTATGGGCAGTGTTGGACAAGTTACTCAGGAATTGTAATAAGTTACTTTTTACTTATGACTCCATTATAAATTAATATTACTTTAATTATTACTGGGTATTCAAAGTAACTAGTTACGTTACTCGTTACGTGCAGCCACTCAAACCAGATCGCGCTGTATATTAGAGGCTATTTAACAAGACAAAAAACAGTCCCTCCCAACTTTTAACTAATGTTTCCTGCACATTTATCAGAGCAGTATTCAAAGTTTTTACACAACATCAAACATTTTTTTTTACGCTACTCTCTCCAGATGTCACGTTGCTGAGCTGCTTCAGCAGATGCTTCAGTACTTTAGATGCTGTTCGCTGGTCGCACAAAGTTTACAGCAGACGACATCTTAGACTGTGACACAATAATGGTGACAGCTGTGGAAAGAACGCCCGTCTCCTTTGTTCTCCATTCTTCCTGACAGCTGACTTGAACTGCCGGATGGTGCCTTCTAGTAACACAGGCTACTTTGATTAGTAACTGTAATATTATAATAGTTTTAGAAATAGTAATCCCTTACACTACTAGCTACTAATATTTACTGTAGTTCCTGAGTGAGGCGTTACTGCCCAACACTGATTACGGGTAGGAGCTGGGACTGTAATTGGTGGTTGCGAGGGGTTGGTTGGTTTGTATATTCTAGGGTTTGCTAACACCCTGAATCTCGACAGAAGAAAACTTCTTCCTGTTAAAAGATCTAAACAGTAAAAATGGAGAGACACTCTCAGATGCCCTTTGTGTTTATTCTGTGCAAATGGTCGTCCTGTAAAGGAGCTCTGACCTTGGGGCTGGCAGGTGATGTTGTCCCGGTCCAGACTGTAGCCCGGAGCGCAGAAACAGATGTGAGATCGATCTGGAACCTCTCTGCAGAAATGTTCGCATCCTCCGTTTCTGTAGCGACAGCCGCCGGAGGTGGAACGTGCTGCGTGGAGTCGGGAGACGAAAACACAACTTTGTTCGTCACGACAGAAACTTCTGCAACAGCAACGATCACCAACGCTCGCAGAAATGTTTACCTTTGTCACAGTTGTGTCCGTGGAAACCAGGAGGACATTTGCAGGTGTAGGTGTCGATCCGGCGAGTACAGGTCGCTCCGTTCTTACAGGGAAACGACAGGCAGTGATTCGGCGCTGCGCACAGGATGCAGATAGAGTATTACAGTATTTTAACAGAGACTGGAGTACAGCAGAATCTGTCTCGGTCTTTCAGGAGATTCTTTTATTTCCAAATTCAGATGAATATTAGAAACCCTAAAGGGCAGCTTGACTCTGAAGTACCTGTGTACAGCCGCCAGAAGACTTCCTGAAGACAGAGAGAGAGTGACAAGACACGTTAATGATGAAGACACTGACGACCACGTGAGGATGGACGGGGGGAGTCTGGACTGACCAGCTGCTGTGGCAGGGTGAAGATCTCCTTCGCCTCCTCGTAGGAGCATTTCTCCTCCACACACTCGCGCTCCACATCGCCTCTCTTCAGCTCCTCAAACAGGAAGTTTGCGCGACGACTGCGGCGGAGGAAGACGCTGGCCTCAGGTCTGCCCAGGAACACTTCTCCTTCACACGAAAATACAGAACAAGAACAAACCTGAGCTCGATGAAGACATTACAACTGAGAAAAAGAAATGTTATCAGCACTTACTTTGATAGTTGATAAATGTTTAAGTTATTCTCAAGCAGAAAGGTGAAATATTTGATCGTTCCAGGTTCTCAAAGGTGAGAATTCGTTGCTTTTCTTGGTCTCACATTGCAGTAAATGTAATATTTTGGGGCTTTTGACTGTCGGTCGGGCAAAACAAGACATTTCCGCTATAAGATATTATGATGCATATTTTAAACTGTTTTTCTGAACTTTTATAGACAAAATGATTAATCGTAAAAGATTAATCCATAATGAAAATAGTTTTTTTGTCCTTTCTTTTGTAAAAGAAACACAAACACGCTAACGTTAGCATCAGCGTCATCGGGTTAGAAGCGGATCGCAGAGCTGCTAACTGAACTTCACAGTGGACACAAACGAACACGTGTCCTTTTCAAAGATGGAAGCAGAAGAAGAAGAAGAGCTTTTGAAGGAGAAGAAACCGAGGACTGACCTCCAGGAAGCCCAGTGCATGCTGGGATGGAAGCGATGAGGAGTCGTAGGAAGAAGAGCAGCTTCTTTTCTCTGCTGACGGACGCCATGTTTGTTCTGATCAAAGGTCAGAAACACTGAAAACACAGAAACCCCTCTCTCTCTCTCTCTCTCTCTCTCTCTCACACGTGGTACAAATACTGCGCAGGCTGACTCCAGTCCTTAAAGACCTGGATCAGGTTCTTCTTCTGCTTTTAAACACTCAGCAGCTTTGGTTATTTCAGCTGAGAGATTTCTGGATTTCAGTTTTTTCTCTGAGTTCAGGGTTTGAAGTGGGCGGACTACCTCCATGCACCAATCAGGATTGAGCAACACAACTGTTTCTCCCCCCAAAACTTTAAACTTCAACCATTGATTGTTTTTGCAAAGATTAGAGGGGTCTGACTTTCTGAAAGCAGCGCCCTCTCGTCTGAAGGGATTTTAACATCACCTGCGCTGGTCAGTGATTTAAATCCCGTCTGAAGCTCGTATGCGGGTCATTTTCTGCTCCCACCACAGGAATAGTTGCAGCCACAATGACCTCCTGTGTGTCCGTTAACTGGCCGCTCCTCCGGTAGAGAAAATCCCGTACAGTCTGACGTCCTTGTATTTTAAGTTAATTATATATTTAAGTTAATAATACTGCATTTAATCAGCTGAGGGTTTGTGTTGTTGCTAATCTGACTGATGGAAACAAGCCAACACACTAATTGAGAACCAGTATGACAACAGAACCAATTAAAGCCATCATGATCAAATTAGCACCAATAGATACCGACACTATCACTGGATGACTTTGATACTGGAGAATCCTTAAAAACACGAAGGTTCTCAGGTTCTGCAGCGTGTTCTTCTTGTGATTTCTTAGTGGATTTACGGACGTTTATTCTGGATGGATATCGGAGGTGATGGTTTCTCAGGAAGAGTAAATCACACTGAATGATCCAACATGTGTTTCATGTCTGTGTGTTCAGATCTGACTGACTCTGAGAAGGATCTCTGAGTTAAATGAAGAACGTTAACACCCTCCGCACAACATGTGAATTCAAATGTGGTAAATTGGTAGAACTAGTTTAATTAGTCGTTTGCATCGATTTAAATCTTAATATCTTTATGGAAACCCTGATACGACACAAGAGAAAGTTGTCGTTTTGATTTGCCAAACTGCAAAGAAAAGAGATGGTAAAGTTTATCCTGATGTCTAATGATTCAAACACATTATACAGATTATACACATCCAACAGTTATTTTATAGATTCAGATTACTTTAGAAACATTAGCTTCTATGGTGAACTGCTAATAACAACCTTTATTTTCATAACCTGTTTCATGTGGGGTGGCGATGGCACAATGGATAAGATGACTTAAGATCACTTTGGTGTGAGAGACCCGGGTTCAATCCCCCACTGTGATCCATCCACCATTGTGTGTCCAGAGGCGTGCGACCTCTGACATGTCTAGCAATTGTAAGTCGCTTTGGATAAAAGCGTCAGTTAAATGTGAGTGAAGCTGGTAAAGGTCAAATAGAAGTATTGATGGAGATTCAGCAGGTCTTAACCTAATCCCTAAATCTTACAAATGCTTGGAAACCTTTTTAGCGACTTAAAAAAAACATAATTAGCAGCATTCAAATGGGATTAATCATGTAAATTTAGTATTGAGAGCAAAAACACTCAACAAAGGATCAAAACATTCAAATGATGATTTTATTTTTTATGAGCAAAAAGCAGACATGTTGTATTTGTTAATTAAAGTCCTTAAAATAAAAATAAGACAACAGGAAAAGGATAAATAGGTTTCTTAGTGTTGGTCAGTTTTTATCTCACCTGAAGCCCTTTGTAATTATTCCATAATGTGAACAGTTCAAATCACACAACAAAAGATCATTAAAGCACAGTGAAGGTAAATAAAAATAACAGATTTTCCTCATTAAATAATAAAGGCACTGGAATAAAAGCTGTACGTTCTCATTGTTGCGTTTGTGAACAGGCTGCAGTTCCCCTCCGCTCCTCCAGGGGGCAAACGCTGCTCTCACTGCATCTCCTTCAGGATGTCGGGGATGAACTCCTGGGCGTTCCTCAGTGCGTCCTTCCACTCCTGCGGGATGACGTCTCCGCCGTACGACCCCCCCGCCCCCAGCAGGGCTCCCAGCGCCGCCCCGCGGTTACAGTTCTCACCTGGAACACAAATATTAACAAACGCATGTTCAACCGAACCCGATGATCAGACCGAGTGTCCCTTTTGTTGCCTTTTGACATCCAGTAAATTACCTCCACAGTTGGTGTTCGCCAGGATTCCTCCTCTGGGGTCGTCGTGAAACTCGTGAGCCAGATAAAACAGGCTGGACAGAGCTCCTGCGGGTTCAACAACAAACACGGCTCACAGTTACTTTTCTAACACGCCTCTGCCTGTAGCGATCGTGTGCTGCCAGAATGGACTTGAACCTTTGGTGTAGCAGGCCAAGACCGAGGTAGTTCACGGCGCCCTGATGGACCTTCAGACGCTCCTCAGAGGACGCCGGAAACCTACAACACAAAGACAGTTTCATTTCTGAACAGCGCGAGGAGGCCTGGTCTCTTTCTCCATCAGTAGGAGGCTACGTTGTATAAAGGCGCCGACAAAAAACTGAACTTGTCTTTTCCTCCCGCGATTCAAAGTATTTATTTTATGACCAGAGTGCAGAGCAAAGTGTCTGAAAAGGCCCTTTAAGAGGTGGATGCATAATTCAGCAGAACAGCTGATGAAGGCTCTCAGCACAAATGAGCGTTAGCAGCCGCGAGGTGCAGAACTCTGCACATCACCGGCACTGTGCCTCCATGTTGTTAGAGAGTTTGTGATTAGACGGCTGCGTGCAGACGCAGAGGGGCGGGGCAGCGCGGTGAGGGAGAGAGACGAGCAAACGCTGGCAGAACTCAACATCAAACTATATCACACAATGTTCCCCTGCTGCCTGATAGATCCCACTGACAGGTGTCACTGTGACTCACGATGTTACGGCTGGTCGTGTATTTACGCTGCAGGCAGAGAGCGGTCACTACAGAACAAAAGAGTTTTCTCAGCGTTCGGATTCATTTTTACAAGTTTGTTTAAAAACTTTAAATTTAGTTTGATTATTAAGTAACTATGAAAAATCAAATGCTGATTAAATTATAATTTTTACAACTTGTGTTGTGATCAAACTCCCAGTCGGCTGCAGGTCTTACGAAACGCTCAGATCAGATTTGGGAGATCAGATTTGGGACTTTTGATTAATATCTTGCACTTGTAACTTTAACTGTCCTCTTTTTAAATAAAATAATTTTAAATAAATGTCTTTTTATTTCCCTGTGTTGCTTTTATGTTTTGTGTAAAGTGCTTGTTGTTAAAATGTGATAAACTAATCAACTTGCCTTTCTATGGACATTAACACGGTTACGTTTTTGCAGAACAACTTGCAGACTACAAGATACTGCACATGTTCTCTGTGTGTGTTTGTGTGAGGATACTGTTCATCTTCCTTATGAATATAATTTAGTTTTACTGCCTGTTCCGTATAACGTCTGTGCGTAGTGTGGAGGAGCTACAGCTGCAGGTCAGCTGAACCCTGAACCTCTCGTTTCGATACTTAAACTTCTCAGCAGTCCTACTGAAAACACGTCAAACCCTCCTCCTCTTCCTCCTCTTCCTCCTCCTGCAGACACATGTTGGAGACAGTCGTACCTGGCGGCCTTGCGGCTGTAGCTCTGGCAGGTGTCCCAGGCGTCCAGCCTCCTCAGAGCGTGCTCGGCCTGCTGGCGGACGCCGGCTCCGCCCAGTACGGCGTGCAGCGCCCGGCTGTAGATGGATACGTACTCGGGCACCTTCGGGTGGGGGTGAGTGAGCTTCACAAACTCTACTGCTGCTGACACCTGAAGATGGAGGAGGTTAAAGGTCAGACAGGACGCTCTGATACTACATTTACTCAGGTACGGGTTAGATAACTGCTTGACACCCACAGCTTGCTCCTCATTGGCTGAGGCGGACAGCAGAATGAAGGGGAGGATCATAGGAAGGCAGCCGATGGCGTCCAGCTGGCTGTCGGCGGACGAGGAGCTCAACAGCTGCCGGGAGCGATTTTCTGCAAACGTCAGAACCTGAAACACCCAGAGCGAATAAAAACAGAGTCTGAACACAGCTGATCGTTCCACAGGGTGCGTTTATTTTACCTGACAGGGCGAGGTGGGTCTGCTGTCCTGCCAGGCAGCGAAGAACGAGCGGTGGAAGGACTCTGCGTAGGTATCGTGGTGCGAGCCGGGTGTGGTCAGGAAGTGGACGTAGTCCGACAGAACGGCGGCTCGAGCGTCCGGCTGAGAGACGTCGCTGAAACGTCCGGCGATGAGCGAGCGAGCCGCTCGGAGAGAACAGAGGACGTTCAGGGTGTTGTCACCGGCCTGAAGACCTGCAGACCAGAAACACAGACTACTGAAGACCTGCAGACCAGAAACACAGACTACTGAAGACCTGCAGACCACAAACACAGACTACTGAAGACCTGCAGACCAGAAACACAGACTACTGAAGACCTGAGGACCACAAACACAGACTACTGAAGACCTGCAGACCAGAAACACAGACTACTGAAGACCTGCAGACCAGAAACACAGACTACTGAAGACCTGAGGACCACAAACACAGACTACTGAAGACCTGAGGACCACAAACACAGACTACTGAAGACCTGCAGACCAGAAACACAGACTACTGAAGACCTGCAGACCACAAACACAGACTACTGAAGACCTGCAGACCACAAACACAGACTACTGAAGACCTGCAGACCAGAAACACAGACTACTGAAGACCTGAGACCACAAACACAGACTACTGAAGACCTGCAGACCACAAACACAGACTACTGAAGACCTGAGGACCACAAACACAGACTACTGAAGACCTGAGGACCAGAAACACAGACTACTGAAGACCTGCAGACACAAACACAGACTACTGAAGACCTGCAGACCAGAAACACAGACTACTGAAGACCTGCAGACCACAAACACAGACTACTGAAGACCTGCAGACCAGAAACACAGACTACTGAAGACCTGACGACCACAAACACAGACTACTGAAGACCTGCAGACCACAAACACAGACTCCTGAAGACCTTAAAAACCTTTTCACAGTACCTTGATGATAGTGGACTGAGCCTTTGGAGGACTTCCACAAGTTCAGTTTATTGTGGAGGATCACGTTACCGACCACGTCAGGCCACTTGGCGACCACGTCAGACCAGGCGGTCCGACCGCTGCCGGCTGCAACAAACAAACAAACAGGAAGAATAATGAATTACAATAATACGAACAGCTGAATCTGTGGTCGTCTTCCAGAACTTTCCAGGACCGTAAGGCTTAAAGAGCTCCAGGTTCTCCTACCGGTGTTGGAGAGGCTGAGGATGCTGGACGGGTGTCTGTCTCTGGGCGAGCAGAAGCCAGATATCCAGCCCCCAAAGTCCCTCTTGATGTCGTCGATGTCGTAATACCAGTGGACCGGCATCGACATGGAGTCGGCCGCACACACCGCCCACAGCGCCTCGCTGACCGCACGCCGTACCTGAGCCATCTCACCTGAGGAGGAAGGTTTAAACTCTGCTCTGCTCGTGGAAACTAATTTACATAAAAAAATTCTTTGTGTTACTCGAAATGTTCAGATACTGAAACTTACGTACAAAATATTATCTTATTTGTTTTGATTCTTTATTGTCAAATATGATTAATTATTATCATTTTATTTTGTTGCTTTTGATCTGAAGAATTGTTTCTGAATCAATCACATAATAATATAATATAATATAATATAATTTTATTAAATACAAATTAAGATTTATTATCATAACAATATTTATATATATATATTTTTTAAATCAATGAAATGTTATTTTATGTGTCAGCAAATAGACATTTCAGTATAATACCTTTTAACACTTGGCTGCGTTTCAACAATAACCAAGACAAATATAGAAAAACAAATAAATAATTAAAGCTAGGATGGTGCAACAAAGGTTCAGCAGTAACGCTCATTTTAAGAGAGTATAATGTCTACATGCTATACTATGATAAAAAGCCTGAAGCAGCAGCAGAACGTGGTTTTCTTGTGTGTCCTCACCTGTCGCGGAGCAGCTCGACCCGCAGCGGCTCAGTTAAAGTTACACAAGTTCATTTTCACGCTGTTACAAAACCGCACAGGAAGTGGCTAACGTTAGCATCGTCATGCTAACACCGCTCCTGTCACAGCCGGTTTATGTTCCATGACACGTTTCCGGACTGACGGAGGTTTATAAACATGTGATGTTTGTTGTTACTGACTTATAACAGCAGAGTTGTGAAACGTGTCAAGTTTGTTTATTATTATCTTCGTAACCGGTAGGGTAGTACGGTGGCGCATGTGGGTCAATTCAAAAAGCGAAGCTAATCATGTTTTTAACCCTGAGGTTGGACTCCCAGGCAGGCGGACTGCGGTCTGCAAGCCAATTATGTACGTGACGCTTTATAAACAAGCCGGTTTATGTTCAACAATAAGCCAAGTAAAGTTTTCTTGTAATAAACACGAGAAGATTCAGCTTAAGACCCGGAAAACTGTCTGGAAGACTAAACTCAGGGGAAATGTTACGTAAATACGGTCTACGGCAGCTGTTGTGGGCCAATATTCACGTACAATGTAAATCAGTACAAAATGCGAAGCGGCATGTGAATGTTTGAGGTTGTGTTTGTGCTGTTAGTCACCTTTAAACGTTAAAAGCACAATGAAAGGTGAAAGTCTTTGGGGAACGGCCCTGATGTCGTGATGTGGCGCGGCCGGTTAACGGCTGTTAGCATCGTTCATTCCGCGGGAAGCTAACCTAGCTGAGGTTACTGCTCGTTAGCTGAATGAACAACAACGTGAACTTTGTTCAGTTCAGACGGAGCTCACGTTAGCGGAGCTTAACTTCTCTGCTGGTGTTTAAGTAGAAGCACTTCGCCTTTAGCTCTCTCTGAAAGTTTTGATTAGTAGTTAGCTTCCCCCTCTTTGTTGTTAGCCAGCCGAGCTAGCTTAGCTGGGTGCTAGCAGGCTAACGCTAACTGGAGATGGAAGAGGATCCTTTAGATCCGCAAGAAGTCGGTGAGAACAAATGTTTTTATTGTTACTGACTCATAAGTGTTTGTTTGATCTCACAGTTTGTTTGTTAGCAGTAGTTTCATCAGAAGCTGGATACATTGATTCTGCAGCATGACTGCATTTCATTAGAATAAACCTGAAACTGGCTTATAAACAGTCCCCATGTGGATCCAGTCCAGATCTGATACACATGCGTATGGTGGTTTTGGAGCTAGACTACGTATGATGTGGTCTGCATGGAGAAAAATCACAGAGATTGATCCTTTTTCAGCGTTCACATGTTGAATAAAGGTTTTCCAAACCTGAAACCGGGTTTGAAACAGAGTCCCCATGTGGATCTAGTCCAGGTTTGGCACGCCTTGGTTGTTAATGTAGACCAGGTCTTTCGTGGTCTGGATGTAGAAAGCCTTCTGTATTTCTAACATTTATAAAGTGATGAGAGTTTGTCCTGGTGTGTTTTTCAGAGCGGGCCAAAACCTTCTGGGCCGGGGAAGACGTGGATCAGGTTTTTAATGGAGTATACGCATATCTGGATTACCTGAAGAGAGTCCTGAAGAAGAACACAGCGACCGATAAAGGTTTCACTTTTTGATCGATCTCTTCTTTGGTGGTAATGAAGAGGATGTGAGCTTCAGGTTGTGATGACGGTGTCTTCCTGCCGTGTGTTGATCAGAATATGTTCAGGCCTTCAAGCTGCTGGAGTCTCTGGACTGCTGTCCTCCGGCCTCCACGCCGGACTCGTCTGTGGTCCAGGTGGTCATCGGCTCAGGTAAACGCAGACTTTACACTGAAACCACTACTTTACTTTTAAACTTAAATGCATGTTCACGTGTGTGTGATCCAACAACAAGCAGGGATTATTTATAAAGGAGCAATAATATGAGTGCAGGTAGAACCAGTTAGTTCACTTCCTGTTTGAGATGTTTGCTGTCCAACTTTCTGTGGAGGAGTTTGGACCGAACAGCAACAACAAGTGTTGTAAGATGCATGTGTGGGAGATTAAAACCATTTATTATCATAATAAACATCTAGATATTTGTGCTCGGATGTCTGAAAAATCTACAGAGGAGTCTGGAAAAAGTAACGTGCAGGAAAGTTTAAAAAGAACAGTGGAGAATAAGGTTAATATCTTCTGAAAAGAAAAAGAAACAAGAGTATGTGGCTTAAAGAGTTCAAACATCTTTACATTTCTGAAATCCTTTAAATCAGAATTTAAACTTGTGAATGTAAAATTTCAAAGAGGTCAGAACTACAGGACCTCTCAGTCTTTATAGTGGAGTCTATGAGTTTTTCACAGTGAAGTTTTTCAAGTGTTGCAGGAGTTTTGAACTCTCCAGACTTTGGAAGTCACCGTGAAGTTGTGCCAGAAAATAAGCTTCACGTGTTCTGGACAAAGTTTATTTAATATACTGAAGCTCTTTCCTCGAGCGTTACGGTCAGCTTCGTCATCAGATGCACTTTATGGAACAACTTCTTTTGTTTTATGTATTTTTCGTTGGGTAAACTCCTAAAATGACTGTAGTACACATGAAGAATCTTCTAGAGTTTAAATATTTCACCTGTAAAGAATCTGAAGCCTGGACAGTGTTTATGAGCTCTTATTTTGGAAGTGTCTTCCTGTCCAGTGGAGCTGCTGCTGCCGTCCGAGTTCTCCCACCACAGCCCCTCTTCCTCCCCCTCTTCCTCCCCCCTGCTGCCCTTCAACGGGCTGTCCAGCTCTGCAGCGCCCCCCGCTGGCAGAGAGGAGCTGCTGCCTCCTCTGACCCCCGTCCAGCTGCAGTACCAGCCCCACCTCTGCTGCAAGGTCACACACAATACACACTCTGTGCTACACACACACACAATACACACACTGTACTACACACACACACACATACACACTCTGTGCTACACACACACACACAATACACACACTGTACTACACACACACAATACACACACTGTACTACACACACACACACAATACACACACAATACACACACTATACTACACATACTCACACAATACACACACTGTACTACACACACACAATACACACACTATACTACACACACACACACAATACACACTATACTATACACACACACACACAATACACACTGTACCACACACACACACACACACAATACACACACACACACAATACACACACACACACAATACACACACTGTACTACACACACACAATACACACTCTGTGCTACACACACACACAATACACACTCTTTGCTACACACACACACAATACACACACTGTACTACACACACACACACAATACACACACACACAAATACACACTGTACCACACACACACACACACACACACACACATACACACACACACACACAATACACACACACACACACAATACACACACTGTACTACACACACACACACATACACACACTGTACTACACACACACACAATACACACACAATACACACACACACAATACACACACTGTACTACACACACACACAATACACACACAATACACACACACACAATACACACACTGTACTACACACACACACAATACACACACACACACTGTACTACACACACACACACACATACACACACTGTGCTACACACACACACACACAATACACACACTGTACTACACACACACAATACACACATTATACTACACACACACACACTGTAAAGTATATGAAGATTAATAAAGTTTTCATAATTATTTAATTTCAAACCGGATGTTTAGATTTTCTTGTTGTTTCCTTCCAGGCCTGTCTGTCCAGTTTACCCAGCATGCCTCACTCCACGCCTCTCTTCTGGGGTGAGAACCCCCTGAAGGTCCCGCTGCTCTGCGGCTTTAAGAGGCTGACCGCCGTGCCGCTGATGTCATCGAGGGGGGTCGGGACCAGTGACGCCGAGGGGGCGGAGTTTGCGGTCTCCGAGGACGTGGAGGACTGGGACGTCGTCTACAAGGCGCCGTGTGGACTGAGCCTCCGTAACCACGACGACGTGATGCGTTTCCTGTTGGCCACAGAGAGCTTCGACGTCCTGCAGGTCAGCTGGTCTGTTATGATGCGTTCAGGGTACTCGGATAAGTACCAGTACAACAATCTAAAAATACTCTGCTATTAAAACACGACTGCAGTACAGAAGTATTTCCAGCTGAACGTGTGAAGCGTATCGAAGTAAAAGTACTTTACTGAAATTTATCTTATAAAGTCTGATCTGAAAAGTGACGAGGCGTTCAGGCTCCTGAGGATCCGTCTTCCCGTCTCCTGCAGGTCGACTTCTTCACCTTTAACCCCGCCGTTGAGTTGGACCCACCCCTGGCGACGGGCCCCCGGCGGCCGGAGCTGGACCTGAGTCGGGGCGTGGAGCCCACACCGGTGGAGCTGTGCGCCGGGGAGGGCGGCGCCCGGCCCGCCGACTTCCGCTACAGGAAGGAGCGCTGGCCACACGGCTGCTTCCTGAGCCGCGGCCCGACGCTGTTCGACGCCTGCTGCGACTGCACCGACGGCTGCACCGACGCACAAAGCTGCGCCTGTATCGCCATGACCACAGGGGGGCGCCCTTACACCCATCACAGGCTGAATGAGCCCGTACCGTCAGGGTGAGGCGGCCAATAAAGTTTGCTGTTGACTGGTGTCACGTATCTGAGCGGTGCATCTCAGGATCAGCTGATGACATGTGGCGTAATAAATACATGAACGTGTGTTTGCAGACTCTACGAGTGTGGTCCGTGGTGTGGTTGTGATCGGGCTCGCTGCCAGAACCGGCTGGTCCAGAGAGGGATCAGAGTCCGCCTCCAGGTCTTTCAGACCGAGGGCCGCGGCTGGGGCGTCCGGTGCCGCGACGACCTGGACCGCGGCACGTTCGTGTGCATCTACGCAGGTGAGACGGCGTCGCTGTAGGACGAGTCACAGGATCAGGATGGTGAACATGTGGAGTAAAAGTGAAATGTGTTCAGGTGTGATCCTGCGGAGGGTTCAGAGTCACGCCGAGCCTCCGCCACCGAAGCTGACGAGGGCGGACATCCCCTCAGACGACGAGGTGGAGGTCGTCACTGAGTGGCTGGCCCCGCCGGTGCTGGAGGGGCGGAGCACCCTGCTGGAACTGCCCACCTCGCACGTCACGGTTATCCAGAGATCCGCCGACACCAACGCCACCGCACCACAGGAAAAGACAAGGTCAGAGTCTGGTTCAGTTACAGGTAGCATTAGCATCCTTCTCCGCCTGGTCACGGGTAGCATGAGCATCCTTCTCCGCCTGGTCACGGGTAGCATGAGCATCCTTCTCCGCCTGGTCACGGGTAGCATGAGCATCCTTCTCCGCCTGGTAACGGGTAGCATGAGCATCCTTCTCCGCCTGGTCACGGGTAGCATTAGCATCCTTCTCCGCCTGGTCACGGGTAGCATTAGCATCCTTCTCCGCCTGGTCACAGGTAGCATGAGCATCCTTCTCCGCCTGGTCACAGGTAGCATTAGCATCCTTCTCCGCCTGGTCACAGGTAGCATGAGCATCCTTCTCCGCCTGGTCACAGGTAGCATTAGCATCCTTCTCCGCCTGGTCACAGGTAGCATTAGCATCCTTCTCCGCCTGGTCACAGGTAGCATGAGCATCCTTCTCCGCCTGGTCACGGGTAGCATGAGCATCCTTCTCCGCCTGGTCACAGGTAGCATGAGCATCCTTCTCCGCCTGGTCACGGGTAGCATGAGCATCCTTCTCCGCCTGGTCACGGGTAGCATGAGCATCCTTCTCCGCCTGGTCACGGGTAGCATGAGCATCCTTCTCCGCCTGGTAACGGGTAGCATGAGCATCCTTCTCCGCCTGGTAACGGGTAGCATGAGCATCCTTCTCCGCCTGGTCACGGGTAGCATGAGCATCCTTCTCCGCCTGGTCACGGGTAGCATGAGCATCCTTCTCCGCCTGGTCACGGGTAGCATGAGCATCCTTCTCCGCCTGGTCACGGGTAGCATGAGCATCCTTCTCCGCCTGGTCACGGGTAGCATGAGCATCCTTCTCCGCCTGGTCACGGGTAGCATTAGAACGGGCATTTCCTTAAGAAAATGCGTGTGAGAGCTGCCAGCTATTGTCGCTGCAGTGTGCGGCTCCATCAGCTAAAGAGACTCAATGATGTGCTGCTACTTGTTCAGCAAACATGTGTTAAGTTTGACCCCCTTTTCGTCAAAATGATGTGAGCAGGGTTTTGTCCATCAATCTCTGGATCTGGAGCAAGAGCAAGACCTAAACCACCGGACTGCTCGGATACACTGTGAAGGGAAGGCTTTCAAGTTTCTTTGTCAATCATGTCTTATTCTGACAAAAAAAAAATGTAACCCGGGTCTCTCACACCAAAGGCAGGCATCTTATCCACTGCTCCATCACAGCTATAAAGTTATTGACCTATTAAGTCTTTCACAGCACAATTATTTCGATTGGTGCTTAGGAGCCATTTTTTTGTCAGAATAAGACATGATTGACAAAGAAACTTGAAAGCCTTCCCTTAATAGGAAGACAGTCATTTTAAAATGCATAAAATATTAATATAAAATCAACCATTACAGATATCAGCAACACAGGTAATTGCACCCATCTCATGAAGAAGATGTACAATTTGAAGTTAAAACCAAGTTTGTAGGAAAAACGGAGAAGATAGATGCCAAAAAACGGCGGAATAAATTAGCATCATTCAGTTCCAACAAAGAGCTGTGTAAAGTTTAAAGCTATAATGTTCTAACATCATGACCCGAGGAATTTCTCATCACATCACTTTACAGGTAGCGTTAGCATCCTTTAGCATCACTTTACAGGTAGCGTTAGCATCCTTTAGCATCACTTTACAGGTAGCGTTAGCATCCTTTAGCATCACTTTACAGGTAGCGTTAGCATCCTTTAGCATCACTTTACAGGTAGCGTTAGCATCACTTTACAGGTAGCGTTAGCATCACTTTACAGGTAGCGTTAGCATCCTTTAGCATCACTTTACAGGTAGCATTAGCACTAATAGCATCCGTTCAATGGTCGTTAAATTTGACCTCTTCATGTTTGTTGAACTCACAGGTTCTGACGGTGTCGGCAGGAGGTCCGGAGCCGCCGTCTCCTTCGGCAGGTGACCGGTCTCCAGCTCAGCAGAAGATTGCCGTGACAGCAGCCAGTCCTGAGGAGGCGGCGGCGGTCCAAAGCGTGAACGGTACCGAGACGGAGGCGAACAGCTTCAACAGTTTAAAGAGAACGATGAAGGTGGAGGACATCACCTTCCTGGACGCCAGCAAGGAGGGAAACGTGAGCCGCTTCATTAACGTAAGAGGAACCTGAGGATGATGATGAGCTGCTGTAGAAATGATAGAGCGATCAGGCCTAACTTGACCTTTGACCCTGTCTCTACAGCACAGCTGCCAGCCAAACCTGTTCATCCAGAACGTCTTCACCGACTCCCACGACCCCGGCTTCCCCGTCGTCGCCTTCTTCACCAGCAGGTGAGGAACATATGATGATGATGATGACGACGACGACGACGGTTGTTATTATTTGTTGCCGTCTGATTTTTGTTTCGTCTGTGTCAGGGCTGTGAAGGCCGGCACCGAGCTCACCTGGAATTACTCCGCCGACACCCAGAGGAAACAGGAAGTGCCCTGTCTGTGCGGCAGCAGTGGTTGCCAAGGACATTTTAGCCTCGAGGAGACGCTGTGTGACATGTGTGAGGTCGAAGGTGAAACACAGTAATCCCTCCACTGGGCCCAGACACTATTAAAAAAAGTTGCTGTAATAAAACTGTTTCTGTAGACTTGTTTACTTTTCTAAATAAATGGACTCACTTTGGAAAATCTGTTCAGGCTGTTTTTATTTTGAAAGATCATCACAACGTGTGTTTGTGGCACAGTTTAGAGTTAGTTCAGAGCTTTTCCCTTTTCTTTTGCTGTGTTATAAATATTTTTTTCTGCATGTAAGAGGTTTGAAAAGTAGTAAAGCCAAAGAGAGCTCCCAGCTCCCACACAACACTCTGCCCCTGAACTGAACACGGCTGGATTGTCCTCGTTTTAATTGTTACTAATGGATTTAGTGTACATTATGCCGTGACCTATGTAGGAGTTGGGGGGGTCAGTACCCAGGAGCCCCAGTACCCATTAAGATTCTATCATCTCCAACTATATTTCCTTTTTCCTGTTTATGTCTAGTCGTTGCTCGGCAGCCTCGTAGGACACACTTCATAACTACTACACTACGAACCAGTCCAGTCCAGCAGGTGGCAGCAACGCGACACTGCTGCAACTAGCACAGAAGCCGTGAAGTTGTTAAAACAAATGTTGAGAACACCTGATCTTTCGTTACGGTGTTACGTAGTGAGAATCCATCTTTTGGAGGAGGTGACTTGCTTTTAAACACCAAACACCTACTTCCTCATCAAATAAGGCAACCGTTAGAAAACATGCATTCATATTTCCATGGCTGTAGATTTCTGCACACTGAAGCCTCTGAGATGCTTCTTTTGTCTCGTGCTTAGTGTGTTAGACTGCTTCTCCAGAGAGTCTGAGGTTTCGGGTTTGATCCTTAAATAACTTTACCAATTTTGAGGTCCGACCGTGAAAGGAACATGACGAGGAGAGACTCTGATCTGACAGGACAGGGCTGCACTTTCTAACCTCCTGCCCTAAAGACAAAACACTTTGCAAACATTTCCCAAGTATACCAAGAATTTGAATTCATATCAGACACACAGAAACTCCCCTATTTACTGGGAGAAATGCCCAAATGGGAAGTAATCGCTGCAAAATATGTCTCCTCCATGAAGTGAGGACAACCAGTGGAAACTCAGACTGATAAATAATTGTACTAATTTTCAAATTATTATTATTTTGACTGTTTGATATTTTAGTAATTGTTTTGTTTTAAAACTCACATTTGATACAGATTTTTTATGAACTAATTCATTAATTTTATTTGGGGTTTTTTGCCTATTAATATACACACACACACACGGTTTTATCTATTTATTTTATTTTTTTAATATAATAACACGCTTACTGTTTCATTTATTTATTTTAATTTAATATATTATTTGAATTTTCTAACATACTAACACACACGCTTATTGTTTTACTTTTTACTTTACTTTTTTTTAATATTTACTTTTTACTTTACTTTTTTAAAATATTTGTTTTATGGAATTTTTATATTTTATACATATATTTATTTAATTATTATTATATTTTGTATTAACACTCACAAACAACTTTTGCTGTTTTATTTCCTTATCTAATGAAATGTATGAAATTAATTGTCCTTATGTTCTTTATATGATGCTTTGGCAATATTGTTGCTATACATTCATGCCAATAAAGCTAATTTGAATTTGTCTCTGGCCCAGTGGCTCAGGGTGCTGGCTGACTCCACAGGTGTTCTGATGCTGTGGGTTCAATCCTATAAATTCATTCTGGAGACAGACGTCAAAGAAAGAGTCAGTGTCTCAGATCAAACAGCTCAGAGTGTTAGAAGGCTGCTCAGAAGGAGAAAAGGTTCAGATGTGAAGGGGACTCGGTGGCGGAGTGGGGTTCGATGGCGACCGCGAGGCGCCGGTGGTGCAGCGGTGGTTCGAATCCTGCATATTTAATATTTTATCCCCCCTCGTGTATTTTATCATATACTGTGGTATCTTTCTCTCTCTGTGTCTCTTGTGAAGCACTTTGTACTTTGTTTTGATGAGTAAAGTCTATAAATAAAGTTTATTATTAGAATAGAAATCCCAGTCTTCTGTAGTTCAGCTGTGGTCACAGTTTGCTCCTCAGTCCCTCTCTTCAGCCACACTCTCTCATCCCCAACCCTCTGCATCCGTCCTGTCTCTCATCTTCTGTCCATCAGCTCCCCAGACCTGCCATCCTCAAGCTGTCCACCAGAGGCCCTCGGACTGTTACTCCTTTCCCTGTCACCTGACTGCCCCGCCCACCTGCACACCTGTTCCCACTTCCTCTGTCCTGCAGCTACCTGGCCTACTCCGCCCACTCCTCACCTACAACTCATTCCCTCATCAGACCATAGATACCGGTTCACTTCCTCTGTTCAGGACCAGTTCATCAAAGCTGCCTTGTTGGACTTTGTGTTTCTGTTACCTGGACTTAGAGATGCTGACCAACACCTGAAGCTCCTTTATGTAAAATAAATCCCTGAGCTGCACCAGTCTGCCTGTTTCATCTGTGTTTGGGTCCAGTCCCCGTTGTCCTGCATAACCCACCGGCACAGAGTCCCAAAATGTTTCCAGGAGGATCCACTGAGCCCAACACCCACATCATCCTGAGCAGCAGTGACGAGGCCCCTGAGTGGCTGCACTGAGGTTAATGTCCAGGTGGACGGGCACAAAGTGACTGTGGACAGTGGAGAGGTGGACATGTCTTTGGCTGTGGGTTCTGCTCAGGTCCTTTATTATGTCTGCTTTGCCGATCAGAGTCAGCTGAAGGAGACGTTTTCTTTTTTCGAGGCTTTTATCCTGAAGCTTGAAACTCTGACTGCCAGTGTACCAACAGCTGCGCAGAGGTGGAGCTTACTGAGTGTACATCAACAAGCAGCTGGAGCATCTGATCCAGGAGCAGCGCAGCGCTCAGGCCAAACTCAGGCCAGAGGAGGAGTGACTGAGAGGACCAGAGTCCTGGCAGAGGTCAGTGAACACATCGTACATTTTCACTCTGCGGTCGAGTCCATGTGGAGAAAGATCTCCAAGAGTTTGAGGGAGAAACATTTTCAGAGTTTGACTCTCTGTACCAGAGTCTTTAGGTTTCCTGCTGTTTTCCAGCTTCTCACCTGTTCTCATCTGACAGCTAAACTTCCTGAAGCTGACCATGAAATGAATATCTGATTCTTTCCATTTGGTTCCAAGTATTTCCATGTTGTTTAATCTCAACTCAAGAAGTCAGAGACATTTTAACCTCCAGCCTCAAATCTAATATTCCCAAATACTATTTAAAGCCTGAGAGCTGATGGGAAGAATATTTGTGAGCTGGAAACTCTTCTTCACCGTCTTTCCCATGTGACCTGAATGCAGCATCAGTGTTACAGGGTGTGACTGCTGTGAACAAAGTGACATAGTGTGATATTCCATCTATTTAAATGTCTCTTTACTGATGCTGTTTGAAGCTGCCAAAGGATCTGAGCTGACAGACCTTCATTTAATGACCTTCCTGTTTGTTTCACGTCACGTCTGCTGCTTCACAAAACACTGGTGGAGCCTAAACATTGTGCTCGCAGAGCAAATTTCCAAGCAATAACATTTTAACAGTACGAGAAAGACTTTAGACCGAAGTGTCTGACGGTGAAACAATTCTTTGGATGCTACAAAGCGATCCATTTAAACTTCGTACCCTAACCCACAAACCTTATGGAGTTAATACAGAGAGCCAGTCGTCTCTGTACAGACTCAGTTGCTGTAATGATGTATATCAACATACGTACAGGTATGTAGTTTCACTTTTTCAGAAAGACAAATTAAAGAAATACTCAGCGTCATATTGAGTCAGATAAAGAAGATAGTTTTTCTATTTCTGCACTGAAATGTCTGAAAGGAATTTCCTTTTGAAAACAACAGCCAAAGGAGAAAATGTAACGACCTATCTGTGGTAATATCATTGCTATGAAGACATGCACACACTTGTTCCACCAGTTTGTTTGGTCTCCAGATATGTTAATACGTTTGTTTCTTGTACCTTTTTGTTGGAGCCTGATTGGCTTTTGGAGTTCCTGTCTGCCGTCCCATTGGCTGGTCTGGTGCCTTTTCTCCAGCTGTAGAGTCGGGCTGCTCCGTGATGTCAGCTGCTGTTTTACAATTGGATGAGGGTTTTTTTGCATGCAGTATCAGTGTTACAGGGTGTGACTGCTGTGAACAAAGTGACATAGTGTGATATTCCATCTATTTAAATGTCTCTTTACTGATGCTGTTTGAAGCTGCCAAAGGCTCAGTGAAGTGTTTCCATGTCTTCCTGCAGTGAACATCACAGCAGGTTAACAAGTGAAGTGTGGAAACTGATGCACAACACAAGAGGGCGCCTTCATCCTGCTAACCAGGGATGTAGTGGAGGTTAAAGCTCCTCAGCTCACTTTGGCTGCACTTTGAGTTCACAACATGTTTTTAGGCTGATAAAAAGCTTCCTAGTAAAAGTGCATTGTGTCACACATCATGGTAAATGGTGTCAAAGCACTAAAAGTGCTAAAAGATACAATCTCTGTTTGCTTCCTTAAAAATCCAGTCAGCTCTCTGTGTGAAGTTCAGGCGGCCATCAGTCACAGCTCCCAGATGTTTAAACTCCTGACAGTTTCTACAGGGGATCCAGTGAAGGTCAAAGGGTGAACTTTATCAGGAGACTCTTGTGTGTTGCTGGATAAGATCAGTTCTTTGGTTTCACCTCCATTTATTAAACCCGCTCTCCTCACACCACTGCTGCAGAGAAACTACATGATTAAAATATGGGCCATCTTTTGCAGAGTCCCCCTCACACAGAAGGCCAACCAGGGCCACATCATCAGCACACTGTAGGAAGTTAAAGTGGGAGACTTGGAATTTAAACTGTGGTGGTTTTGGGGGGGAGCCGACAGGCGCCAGTGCCCCTGTAACACAGACCTTGGTCCCATTTGTTTTTGGGGGTGGGCCGGTCAGATTGATAATGATATCAGTGTTTCCCACACATACGCTGTACTTGGGCGGCCGTTCAGTAGGCCTGCCTATTTGGCGATCTATTTAAGCATTTTGCAGAGAAACACTGAGAGAGATGCCATCTGTTACGTTATAAGATGCAGACACGGGGGATATTTTACACACACAGCGTTGCAGTTATTTATTTATTTT